AACCAACCCAAAACTAATTCCTCCGTCTAAAATTATATACAATTATAATATAAAAATATAAAACTAATTTTAATTAATTAAACTAAACTATATTAAAAATGAAACTATTTTTGTATTTTCAAGATTATATATAAAAATAAAAATAAGCTACTATTTTTGTATATTTTTTTATTTAAATTCATGAAACATAAATTTAAATATATAAAAGTAAACTAAAACATTTTTTGTAAGTTTCATTTTCTTGTGATAAAATAAGGTAAAAGAGTAAAAATGAGTTGAAATAGCTATATTATGCCTAAATTAAATATTTACGTGCTAAAATATAAAAAATCTTGGGGAGGGTCAAAAATCACATGTCTACAGTGATCACGAAAGGATAATAAATGTGGCGTTCTCTAGGCTGGGAGGTCATTTTTCTGCTACCCAGATACTTTATACCCTTTGTTACCCCTTTTGAGCCTGTATTATTTTCTTTGACCACCCTCTTTTGGAATCAAGTTTAGAGTCAAAAGTCAAAAGTAAAAAAAAAATGAAATGAAAAAAAATGAAATTTAAAAAAATGAAATGAAAGAAAAGTCCATGCCCCAAGAGTACAAACTGGGGCAACGCTTAGAAAGGTCAAGTGAAAAAAAAAACAAAAAAAAACAAGCAAAGGTCCATGCCCCAAAAAAATAGAAGCTGGGGCAACTTGTTTTGAAAACAACAAAAAAAAGACAAAAGGAAAAAAGAAACAAAGAAAAAGAAAGAAAGATGAAAAAAATATAAAAAGAATTGTTAGGTCAGATGTTTGAACTACGTTCGACCTGATTCCTTAAAAAAAGGGATACGTAGGTAGCCTCACGGTTCAGTCCAACCAAATAAGAATTAAAAAAACAGGAAAAAAGTTCCAAAAAAATCCCCAATAGCTGAAACTGGAGCAAAGATTTTATTTCATTTTTGAAAGAGTCGATTCCAAGAGTTGTAAGTCTACATCCCCCTTTACTTTGAGTCTATTTTGAGTCGTCATGACGTCCTTTCTTTCCAACCCTATCCAAAATCCTTCCAAATAAAGACCTCCCGATATGCCTTCAAGAATGCCAAGAGAAGCATGCAATGAGCAACAGTCGTCACATGACATAGAACACTGTCAAGATGCTCGTACAAGAAAGCAAAAGAAAAAGAAAAATAAAAGAAAATGAGAGAGTCTTACTAGTGAAAACCTTCGCGGGCACTGTAAGACGATTGTAAGCAGAGATGAATAAATAAGAGAGACTTGTTGGTGAAAATCCCTCGGGGCACCACTAGTCGAAAGTGAGTCGTGAAGCTGATGCAAAGGATTTGCACTAACAAACCCGACTTCAAAGTCATAAGAATGGTAAAAGGAAAGATTAGATCAGTTGATAGATCAGGCCGTTAAGTTCAAAATGCATGTCATGATCATTAAGGCTAGTTTTTGAAAAAAAAAAAGAAGAAGAAAAAACAACAACTCCTCCTTCTGTCTTTCCCGACAGGGGCATTTCTTGTTAATACTGTTTCTTTGCATCATTGTGCCCTTCCCTCTGAGTCAGTCCTTCTCAAAACAAGCAAGAAAAGATTTCAAAATTTGCTACCAGCTTTTTAGTTGCATAAAGTAAATTTGGTCAGCACACTAAGTTGTTACTGTTAATATACCTTGAGGATTCATGCAAAGGCTTCCCCAAAAGACTCTTGTCAGCCTACTTGGCGCAAGCTAAGATAACTGGTGATTCTCTCTGACAGACAAATTAAAAGCAGGAAGTCATTCAAGATATCAGAAAAGGTCACCTAAGAAAAGATTTCCAGTTGGGATAAAGCTGATTGAGCCATAAATACAAATGGTATTGGGTGTGAAACAATTAGGGTTGATGCAGAACAAAAGTCTCTTGAAACCAACTCAAGCTGATTGGGCAGAAGCTAAGCTGCCCAAGACTCAACGCCACAAACCGACCACCATTTTCAAAACTGACAAATTTTTCTTTATGTGAAACAAGAACAAAGCAGCACAAGGAAAGTGGTTCAGAAAAAAAAACAAAAAAAGAGAAGAAAAAGAAAAGAAGTGAAGAGTCGACAAAGAGAAGTTTCTCAAATCTTTGCCTTTATTTGTCTTACTATTGTGCATAAAATCTTGCCATTGATCTTCACATTTTTTCCTCCTAGGGTAAAAGTCCTAGTCTGATGGATTTTCCTCCCAATAAAAATCTTAGTCTGATGAATATTTCTCCTAGGATAAATGTCTTAGTCTGATGAATCTTTCTCCTAAGATAGAAAACCTAGTCTGATGAACTTTCTCCTAGGATAGAAATCTTAGTCCGATGAATCTTTCTCTTAAGATAATAAAAAAATATTAGTCTAATAAATCTTTCTCCTAAGATAACAAAAAAGAGGACCTAGTCTAATAAACATTCTCCTAGGATCAAAATTTTAGTCTGATGAATTTTTCTCCTAAGATAGAAGACCTAGTCTGATGAACTTTCTCCTAGGATAAAAATATTAGTCTGAAGAATCTTTCTCCTAAGATAGCAAAAAAAAAAGACCTAGTTTGATGAACTTTCTCCTAGGATCTAAATCTTAGTCTGATGAATTTTTCTCCTAAGATAGAAGACCTACTCTGATGAACTTTCTCCTAGGATATAAATCTTAGTCTGATGAATCTTTCTCCTAAGATACCAAAAAAAAAAATAAAAAGAAAAGAGACCTAGTTTGATGAACTTTCTCCTAGGATCAAAATCTTAGTCTGATGAATCTTTCTCCTAAGATACCAAAAAAAAAAATAAAAAGAAAAGAGACCTAGTTTGATGAACTTTCTCCTAGGATCAAAATCTTAGTCTGATGAATCTTCTCCTAAGATAGAAAACCTAGTCTGATGAATTTTTTCCTAGGATAATAATTTTTTTTAAAAAAAAAGGAAGTTTGGATTTCAAAAAAAATGGTCAATTTTTAGTTTTCTTAAGTAATTAATCTTTAGTGTTCTTGAAATCAGGGGTCCCGCCTGGAGAATAGGGTCAGTTTTTACTTTAGTCAAGCTTAGTTTATAGTCTTCCGCAAGCTCAATCTTAAATCTAGGAGACGCACTTCCTGGTCTGGTTCATTCAATTTTTTTAGCAGACGCATTTGCTAGTTAAAATTTTCTTGGTTTTACTCACATAAGACGCACATTTTGGTCGAGTCTTCAATTGCATCCTTCATCAATAGCATAGGTGATTCATAGGCCTGTTAACAACTCACAAATCTTCCTAGTGCAAACTGGGTCAGAAAAGTTTCTTTTGTTTTGTCTGTTTTGCTGTAGTATCAGGCACCCACCTGGAGAACAAGGGAATTCATTTCAGAGTCACTTCAAATTTCAAGTCAGTAGCAGGCGCCCACTTGGAGAACGAGGGAAGTCATTTCAGAATTCAATTCAAGATAGAAGTAGTGGAAGCTCACCTCAAAAATGCGAGTCGACAGTCCGAGACAACCAAAAGAATAAGTCTAAATCCAAAAAAAAAAAAACAAAAAGAAAAAAAAAACAAAAAGAAAAAAAAGAAAAAGAAAAAAAGAAAAAAGAGGGAAGTGAATCCAAATGTAGAAGCAGATGAAAGATGTGAACTGCTCAAGACATGGCTGATGTCACGAGCACTGCATGTCCGGTCTTGATTCGAAGAAGCGTGAAAGAATAAACCAACACCTGCAGTTAACAAACATCAAAATTCAGATCAGAGTCCGCATGAAGAACCAACTAAGACTCAAGATCAAGCTTCAGAAAACTTATAGATATGAATCTTGTAACTCATAGCTGATATGTTTGTTTAGTTTAATTAGATTTTAATTTTGATATAATAACAGGACCACGGACTGGAACCTCGATGGAACGGAACCTCACTCGACTCTCTCATCCTCTCCACACACTCCATCACCTCATTCACTTCTGAACTACACGTGGCCTGATTCCTTTATAGCCAATGATATGTAGGCAGCTCAGATACTAGGGTTCGGTCACATTCTCCTTTCTCTTAGTTTTTGGTCTCTCTAAATAAGGGTCGGGTCAAAAAACCTGTCTTGTTATTCTTTATCTGAAAACTCTTCGCGTTTCCAATCAAAGAGGGCAGCTATAGACATATATTTTTTGACCCTCCCCAAGATTTTACATATTTTAGCGTAAAATATTTAGTTTAGGTTTAGTATCGCTATTCTAAATAGTTTTGACTCTTTTACTTTATTTTATCACAAAAATAAATATTACAAAAATATTTTCTTTTATTTAGCTAATTAATATTTTATCTAGTTATTTTTAATTTATCTACCTTACATAAAATTCAAAAACACAAAAAAATAGATCCGCTTTGTTTTCAGAAATATTATTTTATTTTTACAATGATTTTTTTATTTTTATCTTTTAGTATGATATTTGAAAAATAACAAAAATAGGTTTGTTTTAATGGTTAGTTTTATTTTAATAATTATTTTACTTAAGTAGGATTAATTAGTAAATGATTTAGTATTTTTAGTCTTGTTTTAGAAGAAAGAGCATGAAATTTGAGGCTAATTTTGTTTGATCTTAATTGAAGAGGTCCAAAGAGATAGCCCAATTTTAAAGCCCAAACCCTAAGACCCACTCCCCCTTCTTCATATAGACCCTAATACACATTTTAATTAATCTAGAATCCCTACCCAAAAATCATCAGCCGCAGAGAACATAAAAGACACCTCCACATCACCTGACCTCCTCTCCTTCATCTTTACAAAAAAGCAAAAAACCTGGAGAACCTTAGGAGCCCCCCTTCTTCTTCACAAAAACGCTAGCAGCTTTGTATTTGATCAAAAAAAGCCGCCTCCTTTCTTTTCTTCTTCTCTCAAGAAGCCACCCACTTCCGCCTCGCTCCTCATATGAGCTTCACAAACAAAGAAAAGATTTGAAGAACCAGGGTTTTTTTTTTTCTTAAAAAAAATCTCATTCTCCGCAAAATTTGTTGGACGAATCTGTTTGGTTTACAGGGTCAAATCGAGTTTCTTAAGGGGTTGTTCGTTGCTGTTGTTGTGATTGTTGAGTAGCTGAGTTCATTCATCAATTTAGACCTTTATTTGGTCATTGTTTCTGCTGGATTCTCTGCAAAAGGTATGTGAAAGTTTGCCAAAAATACTCTTTTGATTATGAATGAACATCTGAGTTGTTTTTGCTATGTTTGTGCCTAATTTCACGGATCCATGATGTTTTGAATTACTTGTAGATATTTCCATATTAAACTTAGATTCTAATAGTTTTTTTTAGGTTGAAAATTTGTGCTGAAATTATGCGATGTTCACCGAGTTCCTATCAAAACTGCCTAGATGTAATATGCTAGTTTTGTTAATGTTTGCTCTAAATAAGTGGTTAATTCAAAATGAGGTTGTGGAACTTAAAGGAGGCCATACAGAAATACACTGAATTCACCAGTGAAGCAATCTTGGTGAAATTAGGCTAAGTTTAATTGGTTGAAAGCAAGTTTATGTTTCAAAGTTTGTATAGGCAACTCTTAGCCCATTTGTTCTTCACGCCTAATCTCCTAGAGGTCAACTAACCAACCTAGAACTAAATAATTAAAGCAAGGGATTTTTGGATCAAAAAATTAAGAAGGAACATTCGGAGATTTAGGTGGTCATGACAGTGTTGCAATGAAAAGTTTTTGTTTTGTTTTGTTTTGGTCCATTAAGATTAAATTGGATTTGGAACTAGTTTAAATTAACTCTTGAATGCATTAGAATACTTCAGGCACGCTCTAAATTAATCAAATCATGGTAGTTTGCTTTAGGCGCGAATAATAATTAAATCGTGACTATGAGTATTGTTCCTGCGGCATGGTGATGATACATAATCCTAATTCGAGTGTGCGTTTCACGTGACTCGACCTTAATTTCTTCGAATATTAATAAAATTAAACACGTTGGAGATCGTGGGTACGGTTCCCGTGACGCGATTCACAATGTGTACAAAACAAACGAGTGCGCGATATCGCGACTTGTTCAAACAAATTCCTTAAATAACTAAAAGCGGTTTGAAAATGTTAAAAAAGCACAATAGGTTTAAACGTGTAATTAATCAGATAATTAGGCCAATTACTAATAGTTGAGAGACCGTGCTAAAACCACGGAATTCGAGAATGCCTAACACCTTCTCCCAGGTTAACAGAATTCCTTACCCGGATTTTTGTGTTTCGCGGACTGTAAAACAGAGTCAAACTTCCTCGATTCGGGATTTTAAACCGGTAACTTGGGACACCATAAATTATCCCAAGTGGCGACTCTGAATTTGAGTATAAATAATACTGTTTTGGTTATTGTCACTTTAATTGGAAAAACTCATTATACCCCCTTTTGGGTAGGAAAAGAAGATGTGACAGGTGGCTAGAATTGCACAGATGAAAATTGTGGTTGGAGATACTTTGGGTTTTGTTGATTAACCAATCAGAAGGCTTTAGAAGATTTGAAATTTATCTCCAAGTCATATCCTCCTATCCTTATTTTTTTGACTTTTGCTGGGGCAAACAATCAATAATAAAAATTGTGTGGGGTATCCACTTTTTAAAATGGTATTTACTTTTTATCCAACATTTTTAATGCGTAGCAATAGTAGCCACTAGTCTATTAAAATTAATATAAAAAGACTGTGTTACCCTTTCTTCTATCTCTTTGATGTGTTACGGAGAAGAACTGTGCCGCCATCTGTAAGACGGAAGGATTTTCTTGTGGCGACTGCCGTGGACTCCGCCGCCGTTGTTTCTGTACTTGGCCATGCTAAGAATGTTACTATATGTTATATATATATAAACTTAATTTGAGAAACTCTTGAATAAGCACTATGATTTTTCAAAGATTAACGTGCTAGTTTTGTTACTTATTAAACTAGTCGTGATCTTTGATTGTATGCAATTATGGTGGTAGATGTATTTGAGTTTGTGATTTCTGTGATGTATTTTTGGTTTTCTGCTACGTTATGGATCCTGAACTTACAGTTACAAGTTCAAAAGTTAAGGACACTTGGTCCTGAACTTTGAGTTCCAAGTTCAAAAGTTAAGGACACTTGGTCCTGAACTTAGAGTTACAAGTTCAAAAGTTAAGGATACTTGGTCTTGAACTTAGACTAACAAGCTCAAAAGTTAAGGACAATAGGTCTTGAACTAACAGTTACAAGTTCAAAAGTTAAGGACAATAGGTCCTGAAGTCCTGAACTTAGACTAAAAAGCTCAAAAGTTAAGGACAATAGGTCCTGAACTTAGACTAACAAGCTCAAGAGTTAAGGATACTTGGTCCTGAACTTACAGTTACAAGTTCAAAAGTTAAGGATATTTGGTCCTGAACTTAGACTAACAAGCTCAAAAGTTAAGGACAATAGGTCCTGAACTTAGACTTACAAGTTGAAAAGTTAAGGACAAGTAGTCCTTAACTTAGAGTTATAAGTACAGAAATTAAGGACAGATGATCCTGAACTTCGAGTTCCAAGTTCAAAAGTTAAGGACATGTAGTCCTGAAGTCCTGAACTTAGAGTTACAAGTTCAAAAGTTAAGGACACTTGTCCTGAACTTTATGAGCAGAAGGGTGTTTTCGCCTGGGCAGATAAAGTTTATTAAAGCAGTGGCTAAAGAGTAAAGACATTTTAAACAATGGCTTAAAAGTAAATACATGTGTTATTAGTGGCTAACCGTGCACTTCCCCTCTTACAATGTGCAGTAACTATGATATGAAGTCAGGGTTTGGGATTTTGGGGGGAACTAATACCGGGTAACAAAAGAATGAGATTGGGTTAGTTAGGTAATTGGGGTTAGAGTGGGAAGTGGGGTCAGGTTATGTGGTGGTCTAGGTAGTTGACATGTGTCAAAACTAGTATTAAAAATCAAATTTTTATTTTTTTAATACATGATGAGTGTGTGTTAATAATAGTGGCACAAATAGACCAATGTTGTAACGTCCATGGCACCAGTAGGTTCAACTATTAACGAGTGGCACAAATAGGCTATTTCGTTAAGTAAAATGGCATATTTAGGCCTTTTCTCTAGTTTAAATACCGGGAGTGCAAATAACTATTTGATCACATGGCAACATATTTTCTATTTTCATTAACGGGTTTCTAGTTGCAATATAGGGTGTGTTTGGTATGAAGGAAAATATTTTCCGGAAAATATTTTTCATTTTTCCCATATTTGGTTGGTAAAAATATTTTCATTATGAACTCATTTTCCTCCAATTGGAGGTAAATGTTTTTCCTTATCAAGAGAAAAGAAAACATTTTCCAAAACTCCTTTTCAACCTTCCCCAACCCACCCCCTCTCTCCAAAAAAGGCTTTTTTGGTTCAAATTTCATTTTTCCGTTACCACCCACCCTNTCTGCCCCCTCCCCCCTTCTCCCAAAATATTTTTTAAATATATTTTTCAGTTTTATTTTTTTTATTTATCGGTTTAAAGGTACAAAATTTTACAAGTTCCAAAGTTATGAGTTCGAATGTTTATGTGTTTGAAAGTTTACGGGTTCAAAATTTCGCGATTTCGAAAGTTTAACGGTTTGAAAGTTTATGAAATTTGTGGGTTCGGAAGGTTGTTGGTTTGAAAGTTTATGGCTTGATATTTATTACATCTAAACTATTTATAAATACTCTTAAAAGTTATTTCCTTAATTTGCATATCAAACATCGAAAAATAAATAAGATTACTACTTATTTTCCAGGAAAAACATTTTCCATTATACCAAACACACCCATAACCTCATTTGCTTTTAATATTTAACAAATTTTTAGTTTGCTTTAAGAAGCTAACTATGTTTTCCAATTCAGACACCTTTTCTTCTTCAACTTTTTCAAAAACATTATTTTTAAAAACACCAAAAGCACAAATGACAATGTTTGGATAACGTCACATTCTTATTTTTTTTTTTATCTTGTCCTTCCTTACTATTAATTAATCTTATTTTATTTTTTAGCGTATTTTTATATAAAATAATTTTATAAATTTATTTTTTCATAAGCATTGCAACCGTCAAAATATATCAGTGATTATTATTGAATATTATAATCATGGAGTTCAACTTGAGACACCTTTATAAGTCCAATCTTCCATAAAAATTCTATAGTGCCATGATTGTTTACTCCAACATTAGTCAAAATAATGAAGAAACACCATTTCCTTATCATCTCGTTACCAGCACAAGGCCACATAAATCCCACTCTCCAGCTCGCCAAAAACCTCGCACGCGCCGGTGCTCGTTGCACCTTCGTCACAACCGTCCACGGCTTCCGCAAAATGAACAACCTTCCGTCCATCGACGGACTATTCTACGCCTCCATCTCCGACGGCCACGACGACGGCATGCCCAAAGAAATGTACTTCGGTGACTATTTAAACGATTTAAAGCGCGTGGGATCGGAAAACCTCAAAAACCTTCTTCAACAATTTACCGACGACGGCTATCCAGTTACTTGTTTAGTGTACACAATTCTCTTCACTTGGGTTGCAGAAGTAGCGCGTGAATATCACGCGCCATCGGCATTTCTCGCCATTCAATGTGCTACTGCGTTTGCCATTTATTACTATTTGTTTACTACCAATAACGGAATGTACAGCTCGACTACTGAAGTTGAGCTCTCATTTCCACTAAAATTACCGGAATTGCCACTATTTTCTCGTGATGATATTCCTACGTTCCTGTTACAGAGTGATTCAGCCTCTTCTTTTATGATCCCTGTAGTGAGAGAACACATAAAAATTCTCGAAAATGATCCAAATCCTCGTGTTTTAATCAACACTTTCGACGCGTTAGAAGAGAAATCACTGAAGATTTTGGAGAAAATTGGGGTAAGTTCAATTGGTCCTCTGATTCCTTCAGCTTTTTGTGATGGAAATGATGTTAATGACAAGTCTTTTGGGTGCGAACTGTTTGATAAATCTGAAAATTATTCTCAGTGGTTGGATTTAAAAGCTGAGGGTTCAGTTGTTTATATATCATTTGGGAGTTTAGCTGTGTTAAAAGAGGAGCAAAAGGAAGAGATTTTGAAGGGTTTATTGGAAAGTGAAAGGCCATTTTTATGGGTAATTAGATTAAGCAATGAAGATGGCAAGAACAAGAATGTAAATTATGGATTGAATGGAAAAGGAATGATTGTCCCTTGGTGTTCACAAATGGAGGTACTAAATTTTATTACTCCATCCGTTCACTTTTATTTAACACGTTTTAACTTTTTACGCGCCTTAAGAAATAATAAATGAAATGCATAGTTTACCATAATACTCAATTAATTGATGCATATTTTATTAGATTTGAGAAAATAATTTGAAATAAGTAATAAATACTGTGGATATAAAAGGAAAAAAAGTTTGTGTTCTCCTGGTATTCGTAAAGTGACAAGTAAAAACAAAATTTTATTTTAATATATATGTCAAGTAAAAGTGAATGGAGGGAGTATAAAATTATTTTTTGTCACATTAAAGCAGCGGCAAATTTTTTCAAAGGTTTTCAAACTTGAAATAAATGAAAAAAATTTCTTCACAAAGGGTGTCAGTATATGTTATATAATATATCTCTAAAATCTAATATTTTGTCTATATATGTAATGTAAGTTTTCGACAAAAATGGTCAATTGACCACCCTAAACATATAGTTTCGCCCCTGCATTAAAGTAATTGTATCTTACATATATAACAGTAAGGGGTCGTTTGGTAGGGTGTATAAGAATAGTGATGAATAAGGTGTATTAGTAATGCATGTATTAGTAACGCATGTATTAGTAATGCAAGCATTAGTTATGCAAATATTATTTCTTATCTATTGTTTGGTGTGGTGTATTAAAATTATAATGCATTGCATAAACTTTAAAAAAAATAGCTGCTTACAAAAATGCCCTCCATATTCTCTAGCTTTAAGGGACTTTAAGGACAATTTTGTCTTTAACTATGCTAATGCATGCATTAAAGCGTTGGTATTACTAATGCCATAGTTTTCTATGCATTACTTATGCATGGGATAATGGCAAGTATGGTGTATAACTAATACTTGTATTAGTTATACACAAGTTGAAAAAAGGTACCAAACAATGTATTAGTAATGCATAGAGCTAATGCTTGCATTATTTTTTCTAATACCTCCTACCAAACGACCCCTAAGTACAAAACTTTATCGCCTATAATAGTAAAGTTTACCTTGATAAGAAACTTTTATCATTGTAGCGAATAACGTTTGATGAGTTTACTATTATTGTGTGTAAGTTCAATTATTTTAATAGGTAAAAAGATTATTTCGCAACTTTATTGTTATAACGAATTAAGTTCAATGAATTTAACGTGACATAAAATATTTGTAGATTTATTATTATACTCCCTTCGTCCTAATTTATGGTAGAGTCAAATGAATTACTTTTTTACCATAGTTTTTTCATATACTTTTTAAATATTTTAAAATTTTAATTAATGTGACTTATACTACTTTTTACGTAGTTTTTAAATACATAAATTTTATTTTGAAAAACTAAAAGATTCTATGTCTAAATGCACGGTCAAAATTAAGAAGTTTGAATCTTGAAAAACAAAAAGTGTCACATGGGACAAAGGATTAATAGATAAATTATATAATTATCCTATCTAAAAGTTTAAACTATTAGTGAACGTATTCAGTTATTAACTTAATTAATGATATATTTTCAACAGGTACTTTTTCATAAGTCAATCGGATGTTTTGTGAGTCATTGTGGATGGAATTCGACTCTAGAAAGTATAGTAGCGGATGTGCCGCTGATTGGGTACCCACAGTTCTCTGACCAAGTGACAAACAGCAAGATGGTGGAGGAAGTTTGGGGAACAGGTGTGAGAGCTAGAGCAGAAGAAGGAATTGTCAAAAGAGAAGAGTTAAAAAGGTGTTTGAAAATTTTAATGGGGGATGGAGAGAAAGGGAATGAAATAAGAAGGAATGTGAAGAAATATAAAGATTTGGCTATGGAAGCTGTGAAAGGAGGAGGTTCCTCACATTATAATTTGAACAAGTTTTTAGATAGTTTGTAAGGCATTTTTCTCTCTCTCTCTTTGATGATTTTCAACTTGGTGTCATTATTTGTTTGGAGTTCGACTAATTCGAATTTGCATGGAAAAATTTGGGGGTGAAGCCGCTCTCCATCAATAGTGACTTCATATTCAGGGCTCGAATTCTAAATAGCTGATTAAGGATGAGAGCGTACTTAGCACTCTGTCACAATCTTTAGCTCTTTTGGTATGAGAGATAAGGGACAATAATTTCGGGATTAAATTTGAGATGAATTTATCTTATATTTGATTAGGATAAAATCGTGATATTATTAATCTCGGGATTATAATATTTTTTAATCTCTATAAAAGGGTGAGATAACTAATTACATAATAATTAATCATGTGATAATTTGTTTTCCAACCAAACCCCGGTGTTTATGAGGCATTTCTCAATCTTGAATTGAGGAAATTAAATGACTCCTAAATTTGGTGCAAGTTTTGGATGATGATATTCAATTCTCCTCCAGCAATTTTCTTATGTATTGGAGATCTCAATCCAAACGAAATAAAAAAAGAAGCTTTAGTTCCTATTTATGGCCTTAAAAGTTAAGAGCACATTTTTTTTTTTTTCTGGTTTCCCATCTGGTGTTCGGTACCTGTATTGAGGCCCGATTGAATTCGGATTCATGCCGGAAAGTCTCACATTGGGGGGAGGGGGGTAAAGCGTCCCCTAATAAAGACGATTCTATATCCAAGACTCGAATCCAAAATCTCGAACTAAGGATAAAGAAGTACTTATCACTCCATCACTGACCATTTTTGGCTGCACATCCGCTTTCATAATTCATACTCCGTATACACTTGTTGAAATTGAAATCTAGTGTGACACCAATTGACCAATTCACAAAGCTGTATTTTTAACACACTACAGTCAAATGGAATAATAAAATATTTTGCAGTTAAAAATATCAAATAATGAATTCAAGAAAATAATGTGGTTCTTAACAATTAATTGAAACTCTTTAACCAGGAAGATAATTTTATAGTGATAAATAAAAGGTAGGAAACCATAAATTTGTTGTACCCTAAGAAATTGAATTATGTTATAAATATATTATATTATGGATGTTCATTTAGTACTCCGTTGTAAATAAGCTTCCTGAAGAAGCTTATCCATATGGGACTCCACCGTAAATATGTTTATCTATTTAGTACTATATTGGAAATAAGCTTCCTGAAGAAGTTTATCACTTCGGTACCCGGTTATGGATAAACATTACCCCCAGTATAAGTTTATCCATACCGGGTATAATAGGCTTATCTTTTCAGTACCCAGTTATGGATAAACATTACCCCCGGTAAAAGATTATCCATACCGGGTATAATAAGCTTATCCATTCCATAATAAGCTTATGGATAAATATTGCTCTCGGTAGAAGATTATCCATATCTGGTATAGCAGCAGCTTACACAGCAGCTTGTAGCAGCTTACACAGCAGCTTGTAGTAGCAGCTTACACAGCAGCTTCCTTTCTTCTATAAATAGAAGAGATTTCAGTTCATTATGTACATCAGTTTGAATTCGAATAATATATCAGTTTCTCTATATACTTGTCTTTACTTTATAGTCTTTATTTTATAACACGTTATCAGCACGAAGCTCTACCATCTCGAGCAAATATTTTGAAAGTATCTGAGGTAAGAACTTTCTTTTCCTAAATAATGTCAAATCTTTCTAAACTTGAATTTGTAGCCCTGGATATATCGGGCAAAAGCTACATGTCTTGGGTACTTGATGCTGAAATTCATCTTGATGCGATGGATCTGGCAGACACCATCAAGGATAAAAACCAGGCATCAAACCAAGACCGTGCCAAAACAATGATATTCCTACGCCATCACCTTGATGAGGGC